AAAAAAACTATCTGGCTAGATAACAGACACTCAACTTTTGTTTACTGCCTTAATCAGCCAACATCAAGAACATCCGCATGTTGGAACCCACTCTTCTACATTATTTTGCATGGTTGAGACGCCATTCAGTCACTTGCAGGACATGAAAAAAAACAGAGGCAAAATAAAACACCTTGTCATACTTATTGTCACACCCTCTCTCCATGCAGCCCTTCGGAGGTATGTGGTTCCAAGACCAGATGGGCCAGCAGTGGCTCAAACACCCTGAGCAACAGCCTCCCACCCAGCCATGCGCCCACCCCTCCGCCTCAGCCCTTACTCTGCCAACTCATAAACAGCAGAACAGCACAGACGGCTTGACCAAACTTAATGCAGTCAGTCACCTTGGAACACAGTGTGAGGCGGAGGCTGCGGGACAGTGACACCATGTTCTAAAATACAGCAGACTTTTAAAGAACAGCCAGGCAGGGTCGAAGGCAGGGAGATGGGCTGGTCAGGAAATGCCAGTTTAAAGTTAGCTCTGACCTATTAATCAGCAACAGGACAATGATGCAGTGGGGGGCGGGAAGGCCGGACATGTGCTCGGCCAGATTTATGGGTCTAGAACAAAGGAGGGCCTGCTCGTTTAGAGAGTCTCTTTCCCTTTTCCTCTGGCAAAACGAGGACATTGTTTGAAAAGCCTAAAAGAACAAATATTCCAAAGCCTGAGGTCATTTCCAGAGATGCAACCAGTCCTGATGGGGATCCATACACCCCGGGGGGAAGACGAATCCTGCAGGGCGGGGTTCTCGAGCAGCACAGTGGGTGTATGTCATGAAACAGAAACTGCAGGCCCCTCTCCTTCATTCTCAGAGAATCTGGGGCCACCTGTCTGAGGCCACTCTGAAGGCCTCTGAGCTGCTCAGCAGAGCCCCTTGGGATAAATCTAGAAGCTTTTCCATGCAGACTGAATACATGATCTCTGCCTCCATCTAGACTCTGCAGGCTTTTCTGGGAAGGTCTTCCTGAGGGTGGACTGCCTAGGATGCTGTTGATTTCAGCTTCCTCTCCATCCAGAAGAGAGTCTTGTGTCAACAGCTGGTCTCATGTCATCAGATCAGGATAGAAGGGGAAAGTGATTAGGAAGGAAAGAAAAGAGAAAGTGCTCAGCCAGGCACCTAGATTACAAAAGAAGCCAACCTTGGGGAGGGGAGATACTGACTCTGCTTCTCAGAGTCTTTCGGAGTTTGGGAACTGACTATCTGTGACTTCCCAGCCCCTCCCTTCTTGGGGTTACCACCTTCCACCAGGCTCTGGTTGCCTTGTACATCGCTGGACCTTCCAGAGGAGTCACCTTGACTCCTGTCTTGCTTTCCTCCAATCCAATATCCACACGCCCATAGCCAATGGGGATGAACTTTCTAATCTACATATCTAACCAACACCCTCCTGGCTAAAAAGCACTTAATTGCTCTTCAATGTCTTTAGAAAAGATATGCAGAAACCTCAGCCTGACAACAGATCCTTCATGTTGTGGCCACATCTGTCTTTCCAGCTGGTGTTTCATCTCTTCCCAGCCCTCACTGTAACCTTTAGACCCATAGAATTATTTTCTCTTCCCTAAACATGGCATGTCCCTCCTGGAAAAATTCCGGCCATTCTTCAGGACCTAAGTTCCAATGTTCCATCCTCTGTGGTAATGACTTACTGCATGTTGCTAACCAACTCACACACTGCCTGGGTTCTCGCTTCTTTGCCTGGGGTCCCATGCATGTGTTCACTCTGCTAATAATAATAGCATAGCACTTATGATAGGGCCTGCATTAGTTAATTGAGGGATCAGTTGAAGGCATGAATTCCATTGAATGACTGCCTGAATTGAATGAATGATGGATCTATTAGATGTGGTCAGCCCTAAGGCATGTGGAGGCCTATGCAAATGCTTTTTGTGGGGCCCCTGTATATATAAACAATTTGAGTCACCTAAAATCAATGTTTAAGCACCATTCTGACCACCCGACTTCATGTGATACTGCAAAATACTCACTGGCTGGAAGAAAAGATCCTTTCTCGGCCGGGCGCGGTGGCTCAAGCCTGTAATCCCAGCACTTTGGGAGGCCGAGGCGGGTGGATCACGAGGTCAAGAGATCGAGACCATCCTGGTCAACATGGTGAAACCCCGTCTCTACTAAAAATACAAAAAATTAGCTGGGCATGGTGGCACGTGCCTGTAATCCCAGCTACTCAGGAGGCTGAGGCAGGAGAATTGCCTGAACCCAGGAGATGGAGGTTGCGGTGAGCCGAGATCGCGCCATTGCACTCCAGCCTGGGTAACAAGAGCGAGACTCTGTCTCAAAAAAAAAAAAAAAAAAAAAGATCCTTTCTCCTGGTAGCCCTTTTGGAATTGGGCCTGGTAGGGGATCCCTGAGACAATCTCATAGATGTAAGCCTTAGAGGTCTCCTAGGGCATCTGGTCGACACCCTGTACTAAGAAGCGAATTGAAGAGCATGCCAAAGGAAAGAAAACAGGGACTGGGGCTGACATGGTGGAGGCTGGGTTTCGAGTATCCTTCTGGTTGGCACTACTGGCCTTGGCCAGTTCTGACCACTGGAAGGGCTTAGAAGATGTGGAGGGCAGCATTCTAAAGTACAAGACCCCTTCAAGACCAGCCTGGCCAACATGATGAAAGCCTGTATCCACTAAAAAGACAAAAATTAGCCAGGCATGGCAGCGCACACCTGTAATCCCAGCTGTATGGGAGGCTAAGGCATGAGAATCCTTTGAACCCGGGAGTAGAAGTTGCAGTGAGCCAAGATCATGCCACTGCACTCCAGCCTGGGCAACAGAGCAAGATTCTGTCTCAAAAAATAAATAAATATAAATAAATAAATAAGTAAATAAATAAGATGCAAGACCCCTGAGGCCCAGGACCTCAGGCAGGTGCTCCACTTGCCTGGGTGGTACTGCTCCCAGGTAACCATGTGATTATATACTTCGTCATTCAACCAACAGTTACTGAGCCCCTACTATGCTGTAGATACTTTATTAGAAGCTGAAGTCACATATTCATAGTTATTTATTACTATGAGTTAACACATTATCTCTGCCAAGCAGTGAACTTAATAATAACACACTGAGACCTGCACAGTACAGGAGAATGGCTATCATCTGGCCCAGCAGGAAACTGAGCCAGAGAGGGGCTGTCATACATTCCATGAGCATCTAACCACGTGCCTACTCCTGGGTGTGGTGAGAAATGCAGCAAAGAGGTTTCTGAAAGAAAGCAAAAGACAATCCATTGATTTCACTTCCAAAAATAAACCAAATCGTGAGGAGAGAAAGAACAATGACTTAAAGCCTATTCTGAGGTTCTCAAATAATGGAAAGAATGACTAAAATCATCCAAATGGCTCCACACTGGGCTTTCAGTAATGGCAGCAGCAAGGCCGGCTGTCAAGCCTCTTAGAGTACAGCTGTGGAGAGTACAGCCACCTGAGGGCAGGAAAGGACAATGGCTTCAACTTCTCTCCCCGAGCTTCTATTTCTCCATCTGTAGCCCAGCCCTTCATGTGCTGATCAGGACCCCCATGTGTTGTTGTGAGATTAAAATGATATTAGATCATGAACAACCTGTATGTCCTTAAAGCACCAGCCCTGGGTTGCTCACTAATATCGAAGAAGCTGAAGGGTTAGTGTGTGGCTTTCCTCACCTAAAAAAAAAAAAAAAAAAAAGATATGGGTTTCTATAATGTGGGTTTTTATGAAAGGAGAAAAAAGCAAGAGAAGAAATACATCTCTCCTCAGACTAACTCTGAAGCTTTCTAGGGTGAACTCCACACCAGCCTTCCTAGTTTTACCCTGTGCTCACTGTGCACTTGTACACACACACACACACACACACACACACACACACACACACATCCCCGCACAGCCTGACCCCTGAACATCCCAACCTCTAAGTCACGATTCTCAACCCAGCGCAATTTTGTCCCCTACAAAACATTTGGCAGTTTCTGGAGACATTTTAGGTTGTCATACCTAACGGGCGGAGAGAGAAGCTTGTGCAGGCATTAACAGGTGGAGGCCAGGGATGCCACTAAACATCCTGTAATGCCCAGCACAGTCCTTACAACAAAGAATTATTCTGCTAAAACACTCAACAGTGGGTTGGAAAACCACTCGAGGCCTTTGCTTATGCTGTCCCTTCTATAAAAAGTGTTCTCTTCGTTGCTCTTCTTATTTAAATCCTGCTAGGTGGTAATCTCAGCATTTTGGGAGGCCAAGGTGGGTGGATCATCTGAGGTCAGGAGTTCAAGACTAGCCCGGCCAACTGGAGAAACCCTGTCTCTACTAAAATTACAAAATTAGCCGAGCGTGGTGGTACATGCCTGTAATCCCAGTTACTCCAGAGAGAAAGGAAAGGCACCCTCATATCTTGCTGGAGTATGTATAAGCCAATATAACCTTTTTGATAATTTGGCCCGAGTTAGCAGAATTATAAACACCCATACCCTTGGAACAAGCCATTTCATTGCTCACACAAAGTCCTATGCACAAGGATGTTTATTACAGCACTGTTTGTGATAAGAAAAGACTAAACACAATCTAGCTGATCCCTTTAGGAGGGGTCAGTAGCTTTAAATTACAAAGCTTTAATACAACACAATTATCTGCTTAAAAGGAGTAAGATAGTCCCTCAAAGGAGTCACCATTGAAAGATCGCTGAGATACTGTTGAACAAAAATGGCAATGTGCAGGACAGTCTTACTAATATGTAGCATTTGGTGAAACAGTAAGAGTAAAGAATATTCATAGATATATTACAAACATATACATAGAAAATATCTATAAGCATGTATAAAAACGCGTTAATAGTGGGTGCCTTTGGGGAGAAGAACTTGGTCATGACAATTAGAAGATTTAGTTGTCATTTTATTATCCTTCAGACTGTTTGGATTTTTTAACCATACGCATGCATTTCTTTTTTATTTAGGAAAAAATATTTCATTAAAAAATTCTTGTGATTGCTTCAGCTGCACATATATTTAAATGGGAAAAATACAGAGATTAGCATGGCCCCTTCACAAGGATGACATGCAAATTTGTGAAGTGTCCCATATTTTGGGGGCTTAATTCCTGGGTGATGAAGTAATCTATAAAACAAACCCTCATGACATGAGTTTACCTACAGAATGAACCCTCACATGTACCCCCAAACCTAAAATAAAACTAAAAAAAAAAAAGAATATATCTTTATCATCTTGAATTAGGTACGGATTTCTTTAATAGTACACACAAAAAACTAACACTTAAAAAATTGACCTACTGTATTTTTATGAAAATTGAGAACTTCTTCCATAGAAAGAGACCATGAAGGATAAATAGTTAAGGCACATACTGGGAGAAGAGATTCACAGTCGATAAATCCAACAAAGGTCTTGCATTCATAATATATAAAAATAGTCAATATAATTTTTGAAAGTGAGCAAAAGACTTGAACAGACACTTTACAAAAAGGATATTCAAATGGCTAACAATCATATGTAACGATACCCAAAATCATTAGTCACCAGCCGGGCCCAGTGGCTCACACCTGTAATCCCAGCACTTTGGAAGGCTGAGGCAGGTGGATCACCTGAGGTTGGGAGTTCAAGACCAGGCTGACCAACATGGAAAAACCCCATCTCTACTAAAAATACAAAATTAGCCAGGTGTGGTGGCACATGCCTGTAATCCCAGCTACTCGGGAGGCTGAGGCAGGAGAATTGCTTGAACCTGGGAGGTAGAGGTTGTGGTGAGCCAAGATCACGCCATCGCACTCCTGCCTAAGCAACAAGAGCAAAACTCCTTCTCAAAAAAAAAAAAAAAAGTCATTAGTCCCCAAGAAAATGTAAAGTAAAAAAACCATGACGGAATATCTCTCCTCTGCTGTCAGAATTGCTAAAATTAAAAAGGCTGACTATATTCATTTCTCATACATTGCTGGTAGAATAAAAAGGTACAACCACTTTGAAAGTTCTTTGACAGCATCTACAAAAGCTGAACCTTCCAACCTTACCTCCATAAAACTTCCCTGATTTACAGATTTTCCTTCAGATAACCCCTCTAATTTATGTATGTGTTTACTACTGTTTAAAATCTGCTGTAAGTTTCCAGACTTTCACTGGCTCTATTTCATTGGGATTTGCTGAGCACCTATCTAAATCAGACACTTGGAAATCTTATTGGGATTAAAGAGAGAACCTATTTTATAGATCCTTTCCTACGGGGCTCCTACGGAGCTCATAGACCAGATGGAGTTGCAGATATATATATGCAAAGTAAGAGACAGGCTGGGCATGGTGGCTCATGCCTGTAATCCCAGCAATTTGGGAGACTGAGGCAGGTGAATCATCTGAGGTCAGAAGTTTAAGACCAGACTGGCCAACATGGTGAAACCCTGTCTCTACAAAAATTCACTAGGCGTGGCGGTGTGCACCTGTAATCTCAGCTACTCAGGAGGCTGAGCCCAGAGAATCACTTGAACCTGGGAGACAGAGGTTGCAGTGAGCCAAGATCATACCACTGCACTCCAGCCTGGGCAACAGAGCAAGACTCTGTCTCAAA